GACTCCATTTAAAATGGCTCCATTATAGTAAATTTTGACAAATTCCAAGTTAAGGACAAATTGATTAAATGGGTAGTAGTGGTAGAATATGAGTAGACACACAAACTGGCTCACCTATGGCAGAGCACAAAGGAAAGAGGTGGCTTCCATAAAAGCAGATTAAAGCATAAAAGCATAAGAGTTCATTAGCTAACTTTATAACAAGTATTAAAAACCAAGTGAGAACTTGAGTGTCAGTTTGAAATAAACGAGGGATTCAGACCTAAGATTATTTTGCACTTAGTTGCAACCTCTATTCCAGAGATGATTACCCAGTGCTAATGAGAAAGAATTGGGGCGTGGTAGGAGACCAGATGGAGCCCCACCCTCCACCCCACCTCCCACATCTACCCCACAGCCTTGCAGACTTGCAAGACCTGATCAGCAGCTGCTAGGAGAAAGGCACACAGCCTCACTTGCTTCCCTTGACCCTTTTTTCCTCTGAAGCAAATGTCTTAAATTGCTGGGGAGGTGCAGAAAATCCTATTGACCCCAGGTCACAGGCAAAGTCCTATTGTGGGTAAGATAAGGATAGAAAAAACAAAAAATCTTTACTTCTTTGAAAGGGGCAAAAACTATCACCCAAGACTAAACACAGAATAAGGCAGAAAGACACAGAAAGGAGGGGCAAGAGTACTGAAAAAATCATGGTCCTGAGGCCCAGGCATACAGACACAGCCTAAGATTCCAGTTGAACCAGGTAACAAAGAGTCCCTCTGTTGCAACCACAAGTTTAGTAGCAGCGTTATAATGCTGAGAGAGGAGTGAAGGGGAGCAGAATATACGATCCCCAAATATACCTCTTTCTCATGAGGATTATTTTAGGCTGGTTATTTTTAAGAAACAGCAGACACAGGAGAAGCTCTGAGAACTGAGTAAAAGTTACCCTTTTGTAAGAGACATTTACATTTTTAAAGGAAATCTCCATTTGTAAGGATGTCTCCCTCTCTGCACCAAGAAGAGGAGGATGACTAAATCCCTAGAAATTCTTATCAATGGAGAAGGCAGTGACTTAAATCTGCATAACAATCTTACCCTTGCTTACTGTGCTTTTCCTGGGCCACCTCCCATAACTGGCTCCCCCCTCCCCAACATCTTCTTTTGTCTTTAGCTGGAGATGGTATTTTAAGGTGGTGGCTTGGGCCATCTGCGAGAGTTACCCAGTTTTCCTTGGTCTCTCCCATGTATACAGAAGGTATGTATGTTATTAAACTTCTGTTTGTTTTTCTCCTTTAATCTGTCTTTTATTACAGGAGGGGTCTCTCAGCCAAGAACCTGGGAGGTAGAGGGAAAATTATTTTTCCTCTCTCACAGCAGCATAAGCTTGGAGAGAGTCCTCTTCTGTCATGAAGGAGTGCAGGGATATGTAAAAGCTGAGTGGGGAGGAACACAAAGAAAAACCCCACAGCATCCCAGACACCATCCTAAGCACAAGAAAACAGCAGCCTGTCACTAGAGGAATTTGAAGCCTGTGGCACGTGGACACTAATGATAGCAACAATAAAAAGTAACCTGTCATGATTCTTGACTAGATTGACTCAACCCCTCCTACTAACAGCCTGACACAAAAAGAGGCACATTCATTTCCAGGCATCAATACTATTTATCTCATTTTCTACTCTTCTACCCACAATGCTAAGCATTTGATAAAGAAATTACAAAGACAAAAATGCAAAAGAAAACAATCCATTGTCAAGAAATAAAGTAATCATCATAACTAAACTGAGCGATAGCCCAGATGTGGAAACTATTAACCAGGGACAGTAAAATAACTTTAATTAATATATTAAAAGATTGAGTGGAAAAGTTAGACAACATGCATGAACAAATGAAGAATTTGAAAGGCGAAATGAAATCTCTAAGAAACAGTCAAATGGAGACGCTGGAAATAAAAAAACAAAATATCAGAGCTAAAGAATTTCTGTGATGGGCTCTTCAGTAGACTCACTACAGCTGAGGAAAGAATCAGTGAACTCAAAGACTGGACAATAGAAATTATTCAACTGAAACATGAAGAGACATAATAGTAGTAGTAGTAGTAGTAGTAGTAGTAATGATAATATTACTGTATTATTAATGTATTAATGATAATAATAAGTAAGTATTAATGATAATAATAATAATAAACCAGCCCACATTATCCAAGAGCTGTAGGATAATACCAAACATTCTAACATATGTTATTATTCTCCCAGAAAGAGAAGAAATAGAAAATGGGACAGAATATATACTTAAAGACATAATAGCTAAGATTTTCCAAAAATAGTAAAAAACATCAAAACACAGATCCATGAAGCTGAAAGAATCTCAAACAAGATGAATACTGAAAACACCTCCACCACCACCATCAAACTACTTAAAACCAAAGATAAAGAGAAAACCTCTAGGACATCAAGAGAAAAAAGCACTTCACGTATTTCAAGGTAAACTGTGATAAATTAAAGACGTATACCATAAGCCTTATGACAACCACTAAAAATATTTTAGAAAAGTATAACTAATAAGCCAATAATGGAAATAAAATGAAATCATAAAAAATACACAGTCCAAAATAAGGCACAAAAAATGCCTAAATTATTCTGTAGGAAAATAGCAAACAACCAGCAAGATGGTAACTTATAATCTAACCAATAACTACATTAAATATAAATAGTATAACACTCTTCAATTAAAAGCGGAGAAAATCAACTCACATTAAAAACCAAGACCAAATATATGCTCTGCTCAAAATACAAACACACAAAGATATAGGTAGGCTAAAAGTAAAAGGATGGAAGAAGATATATACGCAAACACTAACCCAAAGAAAGCTGGAATGGCTATATTATTATCAGATAAAGCAGATTTTAGGAAAATGAATATTACCACGGACAAACAGGAACATTAGTTAACTGTTTAAAAAGTCAATCCACCAAGAAGACTTAATAATCCTAGATGTTTTCTGCACTAACAACAGAATTTCAAAAAGCACAAAGCGAAAGCCAATAGAATTGAAAGAAGAAATAGACAGATTCATAATAATAGTTACAGATTTTGAAACTCATCTCTCAGTAATTGATAGAACAAGTGGACAGAAAATCACTAGATGGAATATCTGAATACACAACCAACCAATTAGTCTTAATTGACGTTTGTAGAATATACAACAGTAGCAGAATACATATTTCTTTCAGGCACACATGGAATATTCACAAAGACAGACCACATTGTGGGCCATAAAACTTCAACAAATTTAAAATAAATTAAATCATACAAAGTATGTCTCCTGACTATATGAAATTAAACTGGTAATCAATAACAGAAAGACAACTGGAAAAACTTCCAAATTTTGGAAATTAAATAACACATTTAAAGGTAAAAGGAGGAAATTAAAGGTAAAAACTAGAGAATATTTTGAATTAAATGAAAATTAAAACACAGTATATCAAAATTTGTGAGGCATAGCTAAACAAATTCTTAGAGGACACATATAAAATTAATCCCAGTCAAAATATCATCAAGCACTTTTTTTAGAAATCGTTAAGCTGATTTGAAAATCTTCATGGGAATGCAAAGAACCCAGAATATTTAAAACAACTTTGAGAAAGAACAAAGTTGAAAGATTCACACTACCTAATTTCAAGATTTACTACAAATCTAGGCAGTATGGTATTAGCATAATGATAGTCATATAGGTCAATGGAAGTAAAGGGAGAGTCCTGAAATAGACCTACACCAAAATGGTCAATTGATCTCAGACAAAGTTGCCAAGGTAATTCAAAGGAGAAAAGATAGTCTTTCCAAGAACTGGTGCTAGAACAACTGGACACTCATATGCATAAAAAAAAAAAGACCATAGACCCACACATAATTAACCATAGTTGAAGGAACTGTATAGCTAAAAAGATGAATCTTACTGTATGTCAATGATGACTTAATAAATCTGATTTTTCAAAAATTGAAAATAATCTAAATAACTGTACAGAACTTGTTAAATAAATTTTGTAGGTCATATAATGCACTAAAACGCAACCAACAAGGGATGGTAACAGAGAAGTACAGTTGGAAAGATAAACATGATACATTACATAATAAGCGGGTTATAATCTTTTAATATATGTAAATGTATATATATTTATATCTATATACACACATACATACACATCATGACCTGCTTCTGCTTTTAACAGCCTGGAAAGATAGACCTGAAAATGTAAATAAGGTATGTCTCTGCATGATAGGATGGGATTGCTAGTGATGTCTACTTTTGCCAGTATTTTAACTTTTTCTAAAATGAATATGTATTTTACTCATATAATTAAAACATAAAAATAAAAAAATTCCAGACAACACGAACATAAAAAATTACAGGATTTATTAGGAAAAAAGCTAAACAGCAGAAAAGGGGAAAGACTGAGGAAGAGTGCACGTGTGTGTGTGCATGTGCACATGTGTGTGTAAAATGGAGGGGGTGGTGAAGGAGTCCCTTCCAGCCTTAAGTTCTATGAATAAGAGGGAGGCAAGATACTGGAGCCATCGTGACCCTGGTCAGCCTGGCAGAAAGGGAGCCATTATACTGAAGGCACGTTGAGGGCAGGGATCAGGTGTATCTTATTCGGTGTTATATAATCAGCATCTAATTACAGGGCTTAGCCGTCAGAAAATATTTGTTGAAGAAAGGAAGGAAGAGAAGGAGGAGGGAAGGAGAGCCTGTGATGTGCCAGCCAATAATGGGAGAAGGGAGGGAGAGATGGAAGTATGGAAAGAGAAGAGGAAGGAGACCAGAATCTGAGGAAGAGAGAGGGAAGGAGAAAGCATCTCTCTGGTGGGCTAAACTGTTGAAACACCAACACCTGTAGCTGAGTAGGAGCAGGTTTCAGGGTTTGGACAGTGCTGGGGAAAATGGACTGGTCCTTTGAGGCTAGAGGAGTATAGAAAAGGGCTAAATAAACAATTGAACAGAGCAAGGAAGGGCCAAGTCTCTAAAACCTGTTACAGAAAGATGTGTCACTGCAGCATACAAAATCCACTCGAGCATTTTGTTTGAAAAAAGACATGGAGAGGCACAGGTCCCCACAGCCCTGGTATCCATACAGGAGTCTGTCACCTGGAGAGGAAGAAAGACAAGAAATTTGTGGCCTCCAACTTCAAGTGCTTGCCACATAAGAGGTAAGCAATAAATATTTGTTGAGAGAATGAGTGATTCAACAAATGAGGAGAAACAGCACATTGTCCTGAGGAGTCAGACTGCCGGGTAGGGAGGGACATCAGCCACCCTGTGATGATTGAGATAGGCCCCTAGTGGGCCATCCTCCAAGGCCTCCAGTTCCCCAAAGTGCTACCACAAACAAGCTCCAGTGGAATTGTTATAGTCCAATTCCTGTCATCCCTGAGTATGTATGGGGACTACCCAAGGACCCAGGGACACTTCAACAAGCATTTCTTTCCTGATAGGTCTATGGGTCCAGTCAAGCACCAGTGGCAATCCAGCACCAGATCTAGAGGACACTTTCCCAACGTTTTAAGGAAAAAAAAAACCCTCCCACACTCTCTGCTTCTGCCTCCTGGGCTCCTGAGCGAGCCAGCTCCCTCAAGATCAGGCAAAGGTCACCCCAGGAGACTTCTCAGATCCCACCTACCTTCATAGACCTTCCTCAGAAAGCACTGCTGGCTGCCTTCAGTCTGGCAGAAGCTTTCTCCACTCTCACAAACCCCATTGGCATTGACCCTATCACACTGGAAACATTGTAGAGCTGGAAAGTAAAAACCAGCATAATTAGGCTCTTCTGGCATAGCCTCCCCGCTGGTCAGGAGAGGGAGCCCACCCTCCAGCCCAGACTCAGCCTGGACAATGACAAGTTCCCACTGCACTGAAAGCAGGTGATTTCTCATGCTGGGCTTAAACCTGGGAGGAGGGCTGCGTGCCTTGGGTCACTGGGTCTGTGCCCAAGTACACACAGGATCCCCCTGGACTCCCAAGGATGGACTGTTCTGCTGGAGGAAGAAGGTCAAGGGCTACACTGCAGCTCCGCCGGACCCCACTCATGGACCGTGATCACTCCTCCCAGTCCTTTCGGTAGCAGCCCATAGGCAAAGAACCTTCTTTGCTCCCTTTCAACTCAAATTCAGGGCTCTCAGCAAGAAAGCTCGAGGAATTGGGGAGTATCAGGGACTAGAACTGAGGTGGGAGGAAGATGGAGGCTGAAGCAAAATGGGGGAGGGAGGAGGAAGAAAGGGAAGAGGAACAGAGTGGGGCCAAAAATGGAGGAAGCAAACCGAGAGAGGAGGCAGAGAGGGAGGAAAAAGAGTGGAGTGAGGATGAAGGCTGTGATCACCTCTAAGGTTAAAGTTAGTTCCTTGTGCCTTGCTCCTCGACTCCCCACGGCCCATCAATCCACAGCCCCATGTGGGTCTGCTCACCTAGACCCAGTCCCCAGGGTCCTGCCAGATGTCCCACAGGGGCTCACCGTGCAGGAAGCCCAACATCATGGAGAGGCCTAGCAGCAGCAGTAGGACGTGCGTACCCATCTCAGACCCAGGACCAGAAAATAGCCAAAGGCAGAGCTGCAGGCCCTGAGCCCTTGAGACTCCGGCTTTATAACCCAGGCTGGGAGGGGCAGCCAATGGGAGCTGAGGCAAGGGCTGCACATCCACAGGAGGCAGAGTGGACAGAGAGACTGATAGTAGCCCAGCGTGCCTGCCGGCCTCGCAGGCTCTGCTCGCCTCTGCTGGCCTGACCGAGGGAGACACGTTCTTTCATGGCTTCTTTTGGTCTCATTTTTCCTAGCTTTAAATGGAGAATCACATCTGCCTTACTCAGCCAGAGGATTTGTGAGATTCCAGTGAGCTGATGAACCTGGAGAGGTGGGGCACCCTAGCCATGATCTTCCATACATAAGGGGACTACTTTCCTGAATATGGTGTGAATCCAGTTCTTGAAATCTTCTGATTTCATGGAAATGGATACGTGCCTAGACTGTTGCTAAATAAAGCACTAAACCCAAAATAGCAGATTTGGGTTTATCTTCCAGGCAGACTGCATTCCAGACTAGATAGAGATTTTTTACTTGTTGATACACTTGATGAATGTAATCTAAAAACACTGATCTGGAGAAAAAGCTTTGTAGCTTTGGCATCTGGCTTATGCAGCCCGAGGCACACCCCAGAACCTGGGTCCACCCTTTCCCAAACACCAGACTTCAAGAATGAACATATCCCCTCTCCTTCTGCATTAACTTTCTCTCCCAGCTTAAGAACAGGAAACTCACTGAAATGAAAGTTTACTCTTTAGGGGTATAATTATTCCCCAGCCCAGCTCTGAAATCTAAGGAGGTTGTGTCACCTACCCCATTCCAAAACGACATATGACATCGATTGAGAGCTTGCTATATGCCAGAGATGGTGCTAAATACTGGAACAATATGATTCCATTTGCTTTTCATACAACAGCCTATATGATAGTTATTAATATCTCCGTTTTATTGATGAGAAAATTAAAAGGAAGCAATTGGTAGCAGGAGACAAAGAGGATAAGTGGCAGATTCAAACCCAGATCTGCAGACTCCATTGACCCTGTCACTCTGCCAAGGAAACCCAAGTCATGGTGAGTCCCAAGAGCCTCCAATTAGTGTCTGAGGACAAGAGGATGGGCTTCCTGCTGCCAGAGATGGCTCTTTTAGACACAGAAGGGCCCTAGCACCAGCTCCACATTATGAACAAGAATGGACATATCTCAGCAGTAATAATTTTCTATAATCTACTAAGAATAAGGTTTGTACTAAATGGTTCTTCTGGGACTCCCATTTAGTCCTAAGCCTAGAATGCTTTGGAGGGGGAGAGGGAGTGGGCCCTGCTGCTTAGCCCAACCCTCGGGGATTCTTTTCTCTCTACTCTTGGAGCTTCTCCCTGATCCTCTTTCTGGAGGGCCTTGTTGTCCAAGCTGCCCGAGGCCAGGGACTGCCCCTCACTCCCTCCACTGCAGTCCTTCCTGCAGTGGAAAAGACAGACAAGAGCCATTTTAGCCCGTGGGGTGCTGAGGGACTCAATATTGTGCATCGTGCATGAGCTGGGGGTGGGGGCAGATAACATCAGAATCTTAGGGTGGGAGAGCATGTATCATTTTAATAAATATATTAATATAGTTAATATAATACCCTTGAAAAAAAGAAAATAAAACTTAATTGCTTTCTTAGTACAGTCTACACAAAGCTTGACTAAATCATCTCGGCCCATGGAGGCATCAGAAAGCAGTCAACCCCCTGCTCAGCCACCGTCAAGGTTAAAGGGTATAGTTTTACACCCTAAGATTTTATATGTTTACCAAAAAATAGTATGCATTTTTTAAAGATTAAGCAACCCTGCTCTGATGCTATCAGTGCATGGTGAGAAAGAAGCGGTAAAGGCAGGAATTCAGTTATTCCCAGGCTGATGCAGGGGTCAGCCCAGACACTGCAAGAGAGATTCATTAAGGAATAAGCATGTCATTTAGCTCTGACCCCAGCAGACAGCGTCTCCCCAGATCCTCCCCGCCATGTGGCCTGCAGTCCTGGGAATAACTCCAGCACCCCCATCCCCAACCAAGATTCCTTGCTGATGCCCCTGAAATCCTGCTTCGCATCTTCCATCTTTTCTGAGTGCAGGGGACCAAATAACTTGGGATCCTCTGAGCCAACACTGTGTTGCCCATAAAACTTCTCCACAATCCTCTTCTCTGTTATATGACATAAACATAAGAACTTTGTGCACTGTGATAACTTAATGAGATATTTAGTTTGTGTGCTGTTTGCTAATTCTCCTCCCTGCCCTCAATTACAAGAAGGTAGCCTGGTTCCCTGGCAGAGTCTCCAGAAGTGAAAGGAGGCATTGGCTGCAGATGCACCCAGTGAAGGCAGAGTCCTGGGCATCTCAGGAAACATTCCAGGGTGAGACCTAAGCTTGGCATGAAGGTGGCAGAACTCCGGGACTTTAGAGGAGTGTAGGCCCTTATATGAAGGTTACAGATAACCTTTATCAGTAACCAGTAGGTACAAAAGACTGGATACACTGGTCCCAACCATTAGTGCAAATTATCATTCCTCATCTGGCTTCAACCACAGTGGAATCCCTGGCTGTTAGTTTTAAAAGTACTTATCAGTTGTCCTATCAGATAGGAATTCCTATTCTGAATAAGTTTGCAAACTTTCAGTGTGGGTCATCAGTGAGAAGTTGGTCATCAACTTTCCCAGGTGACAAGTACGTGGGTTTAGCCCATTGGTATGCTGGTAAATGTTTAACAACCAGCTTGTGGGGTGAGAGAGGGTAGGCAGAGTGCTGATTTGTAGCATTTGTATATTTCTGTGGCGTAAATGGCAATTTCGAGCTACCATCCTGACATCACTGAATAGAGAGTGGAGAAGAGATGTGCACTCCATTATATGTATTTCCAACATACAGATACAAGAGACCTAAGTAACCTTGAGAGTGCAGACAATAGTAAAACATAGTAAAATAATTAATAAGTGGTGAGGTTTTGAGTATTTATTATCTTTGTTTCAAATACAATTTGTCAGTTTATATGTTAATTTTTAATAATATCCGTGTTCAACAACCAGGTTGTAAAACTCTGAAACTTTAACAATCAGCTCTCATAAACCAGTTCAAGTGAGCTCTCAGCATACCACTAGTTGAGTCACAGTTACGAAAAGTTGGTCAGGTGAAAGGTAGAAATTGCTCTATCCCTTTACTCACACAATTCCCAGTGATATCACCCATCCTATCCCTGACTGATTTGCTTTATCACAGAAGGGGCAAATCTATATGGACAGACAAGCAGAAGATTTCCCACCTTTCAACAGGCCTCTCTTTTTCAGGTTCGTGGAGTCTGACAGTGGAGATGTAGTGTCTCAAAAGGACTGTGCAGATGTTTCTAACCAGCTGTTTGCATGCTATGCTATCGCAGGGATGTAGGGGTATGGAAGCTGAAGCTGGAGAAGCCCTGTGACCTTGGAGATCTTTATTTGGAGTTTCTGCAGAAGATTAAGAGGCACTTTATCACTCAGAATTTTAGTTTTAGAAGTCAGTTTTGGCATCAGAAAAAAGGAAGTTTCTGATAAGGACAACAGAGAGCAAGATGAAGGTGTTCCAGTGGTCCAGGGGAAAGAAGATAAGAGCCTGAACTTGGGTTACGTTAGCAGGAATAGAGAGGACCTGATAAATTGAAGAACTACTTAGAGGTAAAACTGATATGTGTGAGGTGAGGGCAAAGAAGAAGTCAATCACTGAGCTAAAGGTCCCAGGAACAGAGTTGGGGTGCAAATGGTGAATTCAGTATTACAAGTGTTGAGTTTGAGATGTTCTGGGATATCTAGATAGAAATGTCCAGCTGGTGGGGCCAGTCTGGTGGTGCAGCAGTTAAGTGCTCACGGTCTGCTTTGGCAGCCCGGGGTTCACAGGTTTGGATCCCAGGCGCGCACTGACTCACCGCTTGTCAAGCCATGCTGTGGCGGCGTCCCGTATAAAGTGGAGGAAGCTTGGCACGGATGTGAGCCCAGGGCCAGTCTTCCTCAGCAAAAAGAGGAGGATTGGCATGGATGTTAGCTCAGGGCTGATCTTCCTCACAAAAAAAAAAGAAGAAGAAGAAGAAGAAAGAAACGTCCAGCTGGTAGTTGGATATATGAGTCTGAACTAAGAAGAAAGGGATCTGTGGGCCAGATTGGTAGATTTGGGGAGTCTTCAGTTTGTAGGGGGTGAATTGACACGGATAAGACTTCCCAGGGAGTATGTGAAGAGTTAGGAATTAATTATCCTCAGGAAGATGAGATGGAGAAGTACAATTTCAGGAAAAGTGGGGAGGGGAACCATGAAATTGCAGAAAGCATCGCATATTCAGAGGATGATTAGAAGTTGCATATGGAACTGCCGTGGGATGGAGCTTCGGATGAAGATGGAAGAAGGGAAAAGGAGGAGCAGAAAGATGAGACTGAGGAAGTAAGTGTGGGGGCAGATTTCAAAAGGTCTCAATGCCTTTCATTAGCAGTAACACGGCACAGATGAAGCAGCATGCCTTACAATTTTACTGCACTGCCCTCCAATTTTTGGGGAGCTTCAGAATGGTTACCACAGCTATGGTAGGTTTCTTAACATAGGTTTCTTAACATAGATCACATAGACTCTCCACTCTGGCCACCGTGAATTGCATAAAAGCCCTATGAGGTAACCTGACATTAGAATTTTGTGCAAAAATGGTGATAGTGAGAGGTTAAACCACTGAGATTCTCTCTTGAAAACTGCATGTGAGGAGAGTCAACAGTGCATATTAGGGCCAAAAGGTAGACAAAGTCACGCGTCAGGAGAGGTCAGGGGTAAGCATAAGCTGCGAGGAAACGGAAGTCATGAGTAAGCAGAAGTAATGAACATTCAGAAACTATAAGTAAGCAAAAGTTATGAATCAGTAGGAGTTATAAATAAGCAGAAGTCACAAATTAGAATAGAGAAAAGTGAGTTTAGAACAAAAGCAGCAGGAACATAGGCAGGAAGAGTAGAAGAAACTAAGGCCTATAAGGTAACTATTACTAGAACTGCTGTATCTCCAGAACCACCTTTCAAGTCACGGATTATCTTCAGGTCTCCATGAGGCCCAGGCTGGGTGGTGTGTATTCCTACATGTACATCTATGTAATTCCCTGTTACTTAAGATAAACTGACTGAGGCAGTGTCTCTCATCTCTTTTGTGTTCTTTTCTGTTACTCTCTCTTGGACTTCTCAGCTTGCTCATCCTGCATTTGGCCCCAAATAGTGGTCTCAGCACACAAGTCTAAATGACCTTAACTCAGTGCTCCATAGCTAATTGTTTCTATTTTTCTGTGTTCCAACTGCAAATTCCTAGAAGAAGACCCTGTTTGGCTCTGCTCATCTTTTTGAACCAGGCCACAAACATTACAGGGGCTGAGCTGGCTGATTCTTTGATTCATTTAGGGACTTTAGAAACTGGAACATCAGCTCATCTAGAAGAGATTGGCAGAGGAAGGAGACAGGGACTGAAACATCTCTGGATGTCTCAGCTCCAGAACTCTTCCAGTTCTGTGGTGAATTCTCCATCACCACGTGTTTTCTTATCTGGTGTGCTCAAATACACACAGGTTTGGCTTTGAAGTGTCAGACTGCTGGACACAGGGAGAAGGTTTCCAAAGTAGACCCCCAGGAAAGCCAGCTTGGGTGGGATTGTGATACAGTCCTTTAAAGCCAACCTTAAGAAAAGAGGGAGGAAAAAGTTGGAGAATTAGGTCTAAGGAGAGAACATTCAGGCTTTAAGTTCCTGTCTTTCAGTACCGTGACTCCTGAGGAGGGGTGAGGCAGGGATATACCAGAAAGTTTTGATAACTGCAAAGAGGAGTGCCACCAAACTTTAAACAACTGGTGGGGAGTAGAAATAGCACCACTTCCTTTCCACTAATTTCTACTTCTTCTATAAACAAAAGTCTGACTCAATGTGATCCCAGAGCTATTTCCCCAAACTCACTCCACATGAAAGAAAGGAACTATTGACAGCATGCTCTTTCATGTCTTTCTCTACTCCAGAGGAACCTAGCCTCAAACCTAGAAATCCTAGTTTTGTCCTCCAACTCAAGCCAAGTAGGGTAGGCCTCCCTCTACAATTTTTGACCCCTAGTGAAATCTCTATAGATTTTTCTCCATGAGGCAAAAAAAGGGCTCAGAAAAGACAATTCATTTGTTCATTCATTCATTCAGGACACATCTATTAAGTACCTATTATGTGGCAAAGCCACTGGTGATCTAGTAGTTAAGATTTGGTGCTCTCACCGCTGTGGCGCAGGTTCATTTCCCGGTCAGAAAACCACACTACCTGTCTGTTAGTTGTCATACTGTGGCAGCTGCGTGTTGCTGTGATGCTGAAAGCTATGGCATCAGCATTTCAAATACCAGCAGGGTCATCCACGGTGGACAGGTTTCAGTGGAGCTTCCAGACTAAGACAGACTAGGAAGAAGGACCTGGCCACCCACTTTCAGAAAAACCAGCCATGAAAACCCTGTGAATAGCAGCGGAGCATTGTCTGCTATAGTGCTGGAAGATGAGAGGATGGTGGAAAAAGATCAGGCTGAGTTCTTCTCTGCTGTACACAGGATTGCTAGGAGTTGGAATGGACTGGACAGCACCAAGAACAACAAATTTTGTGGCAAACTGCTATAGGTACTGGGGATACAACAGTGATCAAGACAGACAAGGACCCTTCTTTCAAGAAGCTTAGAGTCCAATGGGGGAGACAAATATTAAACAAATAATTATGAGTGATATATACATCTATTCTAGATCCAGCATTTAGTGGTACATGTAACAAAGTGGTCCAAGAGAGGTGGGCAGGGGAGAAGTAGGAGATAAGGGCTAGAAGATCTCTGCCACCCAATCCCCCAAAAGTTCTAGCTTTATACCAAGTGGATACCTCACCACATCCATCTTCTCAACTTGGTTACCTCCATGTTAGAAGTTTCTGCTCAAGGCACAGCTTTCAACTATCCCTTGTTGATCACTTTTCTGTGCCCATATCGCGTAAATTCTCCTTAGTTATCCATTTGAATTTGCAATCTCTTTCCTGCCAAAGCCATGATTGATATAGGCCTTTATGAAAAGACCATTTACAGAAGTGGGCATGGTTAAGGAAACAAAAAGAAGGAAAATTGGGGCATCTAGGTTTTAGCAATAGTAAGAGACCGTCATCATCCCTAGGCCTAAGGGAGCAGGGGAAGGAAAACATGTTACCATAGCTTGGTTGAGAGCTGGAGCCATGGAAGAGAGGATACCCAACAGAAGCTTTGTCATGTAAAGACCCAGCCAGTGTCAGAACTGTGGCAGGGAGGGAATAGGAAAAATAAATACTTCAATTTTAATCTCTCTCGCTCTATCTCTGTGTCTATTTCCCCACTCCAGTCATCCATTGGCTAAACCCAATCTGAAGCCAAACCCAACCAGCACTTACGTGATCAAGTCAATAGAGGTCAGCCTTCTGGGGTACAGGGCCAAAAAAAGGCTGATTTTTTTAGAGAGCAAAACAGAAAATAACCAGCAAATCACACCTCACTGTCAAAAACACTGTAAAAAGAGAGCAGATATCTTTTAAAATTTATTACAAAGAGTATATGTTATTTTGGTAATAAGATTGTTTTTTCTAAGATAGGGCGGAGAGCCCCAACACGCCACCTTACTCATGGCAAATTAGACTTCACTGATACAATTTGCCATGGGTTGTCAGAGGGCCAACCTGCCTAACAGCCTACATAAGAACCTCAGGGCACAACCCATTGTGAGGTAACATGGGTTGTTTCTGAGGTTCTAGAAGTCCCAGAAGCTGTGACTCAGCATTGGGAGCTTCTGCTCACAGTTTTTCTTCACGGCTCTTGGGTGCCCCACACCAGGGGCCCCTCTTTCCCAAAATCCAGATGAAGTTTCTCTTACTAATCAGTCTTTATCTGCTTAGATCTGCCAGAGGTGAGTCCTCTACCTTGGCTTTGGGTAGATATGTAAGAGACCTCTTTAAGGTGTTTCAGCCTTGAAGAAGGAAGACCAATATCTTAGTTACCCAAATCAATCTGACTCAGAATCAGGAATAGCTAAACAAGTTCAACTCTGAGAGCACCTGAACCAGTTAATTCCTCCTAGTTATGGCTTTACCGTCAAAGGGACCCACTGGTCTGGCACAGTCTCATTCCTACTTCTTTCAGCCACTCAACATTTTTACCTGATGTTCTGTGAGATGAGGAGATAGGTCTAGGTGTGCTGTGGAAGTCCAATGAATGTTTGTCCCAATGAGTGCAAGTGATCTTTCTGTAGTTAATGTGGCAAGGAAAGATATAAGGAGATGGGAATGTGATGTGCCTAGAAAGCCATCTCAGAACACAGCAGGGCTATGTGCCAGAGACCTTACAAGTCTCTCCTTCATGGCTATATTCTATCCATCCAGTTGTCTCTGTCCCTCTCAGGATCCTGATTGATGCTGAGCGGTGTTCCCTCCCTCCTCTCACAGGAAAAGAGAGAGGCCATGAGCTCTCAGCTGTTGGTTAAATGACAAAGTGTTTTCTGTATTGTCGGTTCTCAAAGATCTTGTTTTTTGCCTTCTTAAACTTTCAAAAGTTGACTCAGAAATGTAGATACATAGCTGCCAGATGTGCCAGCCACATGGTGAAGCAGTGAGTCATAAACTATAAGAATGACTAAGAAATTAGTGTGCTTTTTCAAGCCCCCTTTCTATATCAGAAATATCTCTTTATTAAAACTTCTGTTAACTGTTGAAGAATCAGTCAAGCAGATAATATTTCTGTAACAACTTCTTAAAATAAAAACCTAAAAGCCTTACTAAATCTTATGTTTCCTTTATCAACATATTCTAATCCTAGTCTTTCATAAAGTCATTGACTATAATGACTGCAAGTCACCCAGAACATGTATACATATCTATTGCATGACTCTCACAGAGCAGAGTACTTTGAGGCCTTAGGCTACCTCAGCCACAAAAATCTCGTCATTCCTCTCAGCTTTTGGCGAGGATTAATAACTCAGTCATCATACTCTACTTGCCCTCCTCTAGGTTACTCAGTCTAATCAGAGTAATAATCAAATTGTCTGTTTAGTGCTACAGTCAATAAAATGAAAGTCATACTTAAGGAAAATTTGTTTGACAGTCATTGATGAGATGGATTAAAGGTAGAAGAGACTCACCAGACAAGAATGAGCAGCTAAGAGTTTTGTAATTCCCAGTGTAAGGTGAGGAAGAGAGAAAACTAAAATTAATTAAGCACTTAGGCAATGGACTAGGCACTTCACAATTTCTTACTGAATACTCATGACAACTCTATGAAGTGGGTGTAAATGATATGTCACAAGGAATCTCAATTCAGAGATACATAAGCAATGAATGTTTTCTTCTTAATAATAGATAGCAACTTTGCTTTGAGTCCCCAACCCGCAAGGATTGGGGATTGAGTGTGGGCAAGAACTTGAACTTGCCAAATAAAGGTGTCTTAATCCTTTATGATAATTTTTGTGGGTTCATTAGATATTTGTAATCTCTTGTTTAAAATTTATCTTGTCCAAAGTTTAAAATCTTCCACCTTCAATTTTGACTAGAATTACTCAGCTATTGAAAATAACTTGCTTTCTCTCTCTGTCTTGAATCTCCATTCTTCTTGCCTTTCACCCATAGAGGAACTGGAGGGAAGGCTGGTGGTGGACTTCTGATTACATGAGTGATGATACATTGAATTCCTGATGCTAGCTTTGTCAGGGAGGCACATTAATCTCCCTTCAGGTGCTTTTGGTGCATGGGTGAGTCAGCCTCCCCACCGTGCATTTGTTAATATTGTGGATCTTAAAATCCTTCCTTCAATCCCAGAGGTGGTCTCTGTGTGTTTCATTAACATCTCTGTCCTTCATGGTCTCTTGGGTACTTAGTTGACTTCCTCCAACATCTGCAATATCTTCAGGTGCCTGATCTAGGCCCACAGGAAACCTGGGAATCCCAAAACATTAGCCTTACTCTATACAAAAGTAGTCTTTACCCTGGACATTCTTTCTCTCATTTTCACCATCTCTCTTCTGTTACTTCTCCATCCCAGGAGCATCAGGTCAGCCTGATGAGCCTCCTGGCTCTATGGGTCACCAAGCTTCAGTTCGACAATTATCAGGTGAGTACTTTTCACTTGCAAACCCTTCAGATGGTGAGGCTTTATATGAGACTTCTTCAAGCGGGAACACTTTAAGTGAGCATGCTTCAGGCGACCACACTTCGATTGAACACTCTTCAAGTGAGCACGCTTCGGGTGAGCACGCTTTGGGTGAGCACGCTGCAGGTGAGCATGCTACAGGTGAGCACGCTGCAGGTGAACGCGCTGCAGGTGAACGTGCTTCGGATGAACATGCTTCGGGTGAGCATGATGCAGTTGAACACGCTGCAGTTGAACATGCTTCAGGTGAACATGCTGCCAGTGAGCACGCTTCTGGTGAACAACCTTCAGGTGAACAGCCTTCCAGTGAAAAGTCTTCAGGTGAACAGGCTTCAGCTGAACAGGCTACAGGTGAACAGACCTCAGGTGAAAAGCCAATGGGTGAACAGCCTTCAGACAGTCCAACTTCCAGCACATTTTCAGGTGAACCACATTTGGATGGGTGCTAGTCCTTGACTTCAGGTGGGAAGTAGGCAACACTTCAAAAAACCCTATTTTAGGGAAAGAGCATAGGAGAAAGAATAGTTCACAAACAGCTCTCCCAAAGACTCTCTTTACAATAATACCAGGAAGCAGGATCCAGGTTTTGTGGGGTCCTGATGGCTAAACAATTTGGAGGCCCCTCCTTAAGAAAAATAACACAAATACAAAATGCCAGCAGTCCCTCCAACTTTACTCTACTTGAGAAATTATGTATACAAAAGCCCACAGCTCCCCTGGAAGGAACTCATGGAAGACTAACCTTCATGAGCTTCATACTAAATCTGCCTCTTAACAAACTACATTAGAATACTTTGCAAACCCTGTATAGAGATGTCTAGCACTGGAGCTGGTGGCTCCTTGTTTTTTTGTTTGTTTGAACATGGAAAGTAAAACATGCAGACACTTTTGTCTGTTAGATACAGAAATAAGTTCCCAGGACAACTGCAGTTCTTTAACTCTTACTAAAAAGGAATTGTTCAAGGAAGGAAAACAAGATCCAAAGTTTGATGCCTCAAGTTATTACCAGACATAAATAATTCATATATCACCCCATTGCATAAGTAGTGCAAAGTACTCCAAATTTTCAGATGAGAGAAGTGAGGCTAACATCACATGGCTAGAAAGGAGAAAACCTTAGATTCAAACTCAGGTCTAACTCCAAAGCCCCTATTCTTTCCACTGCTTTATGCTTCCTTAACTAGGGAATTGCCAATGGAGATAGTAAAAGAGGCAAAACGGAAGCATTTCAAAGAGAATGCCTTTGTGACAAGTTGACCTTCAATAAGCTCAATTTGAAAATGGAGAATGATGCAGACTCTCTACAGGGTTTACAACATCAGAATATTCTAACATAGCTTATTAATCAGTCAGATTTTACTCCAAGTGTTTGTGCCTTGTGGATAAGTGAGAGTATGATGGGGAGTACAAAAAGTCACGTGATAAGTTCTACTTTGCTTCTATTGAGTCAGACATGGCAGAAGGGCATTTAATTATTAATGTCTAGGAAGCCAATGGAGATATGAATTGGAGTAAAAGTTACTGTTACAGAAATTTTGGATCCATCAGCAGTGAAAATCATAAATGAAGCAGTAAGAATGAAGGAATTGCCTTTGGTGTAGAAGAGAGAATATGCTTTATCAGACAGACACGGAGCCCTCAGATCCCCAACAAGAACCAGGGAATGAAATGTGTTGTATCCAAGCTACTTGTTGCCCATCATCCCTCCCTAGATGTGTTATTCAAGGCTACACACCTGGTCCATAAGGGAATTTCACCAGGCTTATCTTAAATTTTCAGGCCCTGTTTTAAATTGCCACACATGCTCTTTTATGAATGATCAAGGAAAATGCCTTCGTGGAGAGGGAGTCTGCTCCACTCAGAACTCCCAGCAGTGCATGTTAAAGAAGATCTTTGAAGGTGTGTGGGGACTTCATGAGGCAGTCTTTGCCAGAGAACACATCAACCAACTCGAGTACTGATGGGGAGCAGTTAGGGCAGCAGGGGCCTGAGGAGGATCAAACTGTGATTCCCCAGAAACTTGGAGATTCAGGAGAACCTTATCTTTTCAAGAATTAAGAGTAGAATTCTAGCTACTGATAGAGAGGTAGAGAACATTTCTAGCAGGCCTACAATGTCTTAAAAGGAGGCAGATAGACTGGCTGTCTCTTCCTGTTAAAGAAATATGTGAATTGCCCCTTGAGTCATTGAGACATTGACTGTAAACTCAGGACTGTGGCTATATATTCTTAGCACTTAGCACAATGTCCAGAACATGGTAGGCATTTAGTAAATATTGACTAAATGAATAAACTAATAAGTAATTTTCTATCAGTCTGTGTTCACAGGTTGCCAGACCTGTCTGAGTACATTCCCACATGTCTCCACCCTTACACTCACTCCTTATCCCCAAAATAAGGGATCTTGGTTACTTACATTCCATGAACCACACTGCCTGACTTCCCTTGTGGGTTGTCTGGTCCCTTTCTAAAGGGAGCAGGCAACTGATGGGGGGAAAGGGGAAGAGGGAAGAAGAATATACAAGTTGGAGGTCTTGGCGTGCCTGCATGGGGACACTGGGGACCATCGAGGAAGACTAAGGCTGGAGGAGGAAGCCTCCTCACTGTAGTCTGTCTCTGCTTCTTTCAGGTGGAAAACTCCAATTCATGGTTCAGGGGTGTGAGAATATGTGCCCATCTATGAACCTCTTCTCCCACGGAACCAGGATGCAAATTACATGCTGTCGGAATGAGTCTTTCTGCAACAAGATCTAGAAGCCTGTGCCCTTTCCTCCTGCTCTGACTCAGGCAGCAAAAATCCTCCATCACCCTACGGGGCTCAATTTATATTTAGTTTTTTCCCCAGTCAACAACTAATCACATCTGCCTCTGCCTGAGTGTCAGACAGAATGCTCAAATATCTTATCCTTCCTCTCCTATCCATGCCCTGTTACACATTCTTTTCTGTCCTCTGTCTTCCCTATTTCCCAAACCCATCTCTCATCATTCTTTTCTTTTTCAATAAATACTGCATGGTTAAAGAATATAGACTCCAGAGAGATTTCTTTTCCCATCAGCCAGTTTCAGGGTTAGCTTGAGCTTCCCTCTACTCTACACACTAAAGTGGATGCATTTTTAAACCACTCCATATTCATCAAGGTGAAGGGGTCCACCAGGTCAGAGACCACAAAGAGGAATGCAAAGTAGGTGTTAACTTTTTCTGAGCTAAACAATATTGTGAATCCTTTTTTTCTGACCCCCTCACTTTTCCATCCGTATAGCCACCCTACCCCCTTCTACTTATCATGGTGTCCAAAACTCACCCCTTCTTTGGCTCTCGAGAGTCTTCAGTCTTCAAGAGCCTACTGCTAACATAAGTATAACAATAAAATGACTCCTTTTCATTTATTTGCTAAATAAATATGTAGCAGATCATAATGCTTAAATCTTTTTCTCACACAGTGTTATTTGATCATCTCAGCATAGAGGGGCAAGCAGGTGAAAATACTATAATAGTCCCTTTCACTTTGTACATTTCACCTTGTATTAGTGTTATGTTCTTCAAGGTGCTTTCATATACAAGGTCTCATCTGATCCTCAGAAGAGAGCCCAGAGAGGTGGACAGGAAAGATAGCATCATCCTTATTTTATAAATAAGGAAATAATGACATAGAGATGTTTTATTCATTCATACTCCATGTTGTTCCAGACTTGCCAAGGTTATAGAGCTACAGTGAACCATGAACCAGGGCCAGATTTCAAAACCAAATCTGCATGATCTCAATCTGAGCTGCTTCTACCACACTATGAATGTTAGCCAGAACGATTCTTTCAAGACCAAAATCAATCCTCTCCTCCTACACAAGTCCATCTCCTTTCAGCCATTGCTCCTCTATACCTCTGTTTAAAAGCTCCTAAGATCAGCTGAGTGGTCTTAACAGTGTCTTTTGTAGAGCAAAAGCCTTTAATTCCGATAAAATCCTATTTATCAATTTTTTCTTTTGTGGATAGGGTTTTTGATTTCATGCCTAAGAATTATTAGAATAGTACACCAATAAACAAATTCTACTATATATATATATATATGCATTATGGACCCTCCCCACAAAACATATTGGTAACAGGCTCTTCATTGGCAATAACTGTAGGCTGGAAGACAATGGAACTTCAAATTTCCTTTTTTTTAACAATCATTTATTAGTAGCATAGGTTTCTGACCATATAATTTTAATTTCCATTGCCTAAAACTCAATGATGCTTACATTCATATTTGTTTTTATATGGGAATATTGAAATTGACAACACATTTAAAATTTTTACTTTAATAGAGAAATACAAGCCATGATTAATCTATTATTTTCACCCATGGATTTAAGTATGAAGATATTTGGTTCAAAACAAATGAATGGACTGGGCACTGACTTCAGATGTGTATTTCCATGAAGATGATCATGAATATACCTATGCTCTCTCTTTTAATCCTGAAAATAATCTTACAAAAAAGTTAAGATTAAATGATCCTAAGCAAGACAGACTGGAGAGTTTTGTTACAGCTGAAATAAGTGGTGGCAGCCCAGACACATATAGGCTCCTTTTCAAATTTCTGAGTGTAAATTATTTTGAACATATAGTTGTATCCCTGGATAAACTGGCATTCAAAATTAAAGGCCAAAAACCCGGAACTAAAATCCTAAACAAATTCTCAACTTGAAACATGGTTTACTAGGGGGAAGGAAGAGAAATGAAATCCTACTAACATTATTGACACTTTTTTTTTTTTGAGGGAAGAGGATAAATATTAGCTAAACCCATTAGCTATGTATGTTGGAGGAAATAATGTAAGTTCAAATATGTTGTTAAAATTTAAAGATAGGGGACTTATGGTTTCCATTAATGGTGAAATAGTTTGGTTGAACTAACCCTCCTTCAGACAACAATGATAAACTCTGGACAAAAAATAAGAAACAACTAATTGAAAGTTCCTCAAAAGGACCTGGAGAGAAGTCAAACCTAAAAAAACAGAACAGCACTGAGTGAGATTTGCAAGTCTGTGGCTTTATGCCTGAGGGTACTTCTCAATCCACATATTATAGGGTAGCAAAAATCCACAGTTTAGTGGTTCAAGGGTTCAGAGAACATAGATTGGGGCTGGCAGAGCAGCTGTAAAATTAGGAAGAAATCCTGGGAAGAAGGGAGCCACAGAAGCCCTAAAACGAGAGTATAAACTGTGACCAAATTCTTGGCTGATCGCTGACTCCAGGAGGCTCAACAACAATAGCAGCTGGAACCTGAAAGAACTGAGCAGAGATTTTAGCTGCTGTCCACCTCAAAGAGGACAGAGTTTGGAGTTCAAGTCAATCCGAGTTAACTACCTACTAGAACAAAAGTCAACACTCTTCAGAGGAACATACAGAATCCAGAATGTCTGTAAAAGCATCATTGACTATGTCCACTATATAATAAAAAATTATTATACATAGAAATAACAGGAAAATATGGCTTATAGACAAGGGAATAAAAAAACAATACTGACCCCAAGATGAACCAGATATTGGAATTAGTGAACAAAAGCAACAAGCAACTATCAGAGATATGTTCACGAACCAAAGGAAAATAGTGTCATATGAATAAACAGATAGGGAATCTCAACATAGAAACTAAAACTTCAAAAAAGAATCAAACGGAAATTTTAGAACTGAAAAGTACAATAATTGAAAAAAATCACTAGATAGTATTAACAGTATATTGGAGACCACATAATAGTCAGCAAATTTGAAGATAGAGCAATAGAAATTAACCAATCTGAAAAACAGAGAAAAAATATTTTTAAAAAATGAACAAAACCTTGGGCCAGCCCCGTGGCTTAGCGGTTAAGTGCGCGCGTTCCCAGGTGCGCACCGACGCACTGCTTCTCCGGCCATGCTGAGGCCGCGTCCCACATATAGCAGCCAGAAGGATGTGCAGCTATGACATACAACTATCTACTGGGGCTTTGGGGAAGAAAAAAAGGAGGAGGATTGGCAATAGATGTTAGCTCAGAGCCGGTCTTCCTCAGCAAAAAGAGGAGGATTAGCATGGATGTTAGCTCAGGGCTGATCTCCCTCACCAAAAAAAAAAAAAAAAAAATGAACAAAACCTTAATGACATGTGGGACAATATCAAGCAATATAACACATAAGTAATTGGAGTCCCAGAAGAATAGGAGAGAGAATGAGACAGAAAAAGCATTTAAAGAAATAATAGCCAAAATTTTTCCAAATTGGATGAAAAACATACACATCTAAAAAGCTCAGTGAACTGAAGGGAGGATAAATGTAAAGAAAAATACATAGGCACATACTAGTCAAATTACTGAAAGCTAAAGAGAAAAACTCAAAATTGGTCCAAACAAAAGATACATTGTAATAGGTACATAGGGGAACACTCATACAAATGTTAGCTCACTCCTCATCAGAAACAACGGAGAGCAGAAAACAAGAGAATGACGCATTTAACAGCATAAAAGAAAAAGAACTGTCAGCCAAACGTTGCAAACAAGACAATTACCCTTTAAATGAAGGTAACAAAGACATTTTCATATAACGAAAAACTAAGTAAATTCAGAACTAACAGACATGCACTACAAGAAAAGCTAAAGGAACTTCTTCAAGCTAAAGGAAAATGATAACAGATGGAAACTCTGCTCTATAGGAAGAAATGTACAGAACTAGATATAGTAAATATGTGTGTAAATTGAAAACATGCATACTATTTCTTTTCCTGATTTTAAAAGCCAAGCCTGCTTAAAAATAAACTTATTTTTCATGTGGGTATGATATATATGACAATAACAGCAAAAACAATGGGAGAGGTAACTGGAACTATACTTTTGAAAGGTTCTTATTTTTAAGTGAATAGTACAATATTACTGTTAACTAAACTGTGATAATATACAGTAATCCTTAGAGAAAAATCATTTTAAAAATACAGAAAGGTATAGCTAAAAAGCCAAGAGAAAAAATAAAATGAGCGTGCCCACGCCCTGGCCCCAGAGGCAGCAGCCCCCCATACCCCCGGTCCCAGTGATGGCAGCTCCACATTGCCCCAGCCCCAGTGGTGGCAGCACACCCATTCCCCGGCCCCAGAGGTGGCAGCCCCCTGGTGCCCCAGCCCCAGTGGCTCAAGCCCAACCACACCCAGGCCCAAGCTGCCCAAGCTTGACTGTGCCCCAGCCACGGCTGCATTGGCTTGACCATGTCCCATCCCCAGATGCTTTGGCTTGACCACAACCCAGCTCCAGCTGCTTTGGCTTGGCTGCATTCCGGCTCCAGCTGCACTGGCGCCAGCTATTTCAGCCCAGTCACACTCTAGTTCCAGCTTCTATGGCCCAGTGGCATTCTAGCTCCAGCTCCTGCTTCTTCGGCCCAGCTGCGCTTCAGCTACAGCTGCTTCAACCCAGCTGCACTCCAGCTCCAGCTGTGTTGACTAGCCACACTCCAGCACCAGCCCTTCCCATGCTCCAGCTCCAGCTGTTCCTGCACTCCAGCCCCAGCAGCCCCTGCTCAGCCCTGCCTCAGCTCAGCTGCGGGCTGACCAGAGCACCTGCAGCTAGAGGCAGGCACAGAATATACAGCTCTTGACTCCCCACCCAGTGGCAGCAAGAGGAAACTGTGACCAGATATTTTCAATATGAGGAAAAATAAGCCAACACCAACAGGCACTATGCAAAAATATATTAAATATCCAGACCAAAAGGAAAATTACAAGCACCTAGAAATCAACCCTGAAAGCACATAAATGTATAACATTAATGACAGAGAACTCAAAATAGCTATCATAAAAAAGCTCAAGGAAATAAAAGAAAATACAGATAGACAATTCAATGAAATCAGGAATTTCTTTACAAAAGAGATTGAAACTATAAAGAAAAAACAATCAGAAATCTTACAGATGAAAAACACAATAGAGGAGATAAAGACAAATCTGGAAGCTTTAAGCATCAGAGAGGAAAATATGGAGGAAAAATTAGCAATATTGAAGA